TGTCGTATACTAGAACCTTGCATATTAGAGGCTTGTACGATTCTGATTTTCGGTGTTTGAAGTCATGAATATGTTGTTCAGGGATGTTATTAATTATAAATATGGAGAGTCACCCAAAGCCTCACACCAGTATTTAATGAAAGTTTAGACCGTCTGAGTAGAGACAATGTCATGTTCAAAATAGGTTGTATACTTCTTTCACTCAGATGTATTGAGGTGTGTCCTTGAAAACTGAGCTAAGAAGTATATTATTAATTTTGTTTTAAACTCAAAATAATAAATTCACTTCCTTTGTTTGGGCGATCCTCTACTGCTAAGCTGTTGTGGTATATAACCGAGATTTATCAATTTTTCTCTATTTTCATGATTCTTTTTAGCGAAAATGATTGTTACTTGTGCAGAATGTGCATCTGTCCTAAATATAAGTTGTGTCTAAGAAAGCATCACTACAGTTGCCGTCTTTCAGAGCAATGGGAAGATGCTAAGAGCTATCGTAGAGTTGATGATGCAGCGTAGACGTTCTAACACCACCATTGCTAATTGCTTTAACATCACGTTGGTAAAACCGTGAGGGCCAGAGGCCTTCAACCTCGGGAGAGCATCTAAAACCTCCATAATTTGACTATGGTGATTGGCTTATTTTCTTCGAGATCAGCGGAAGTTTGAATTTAGAAAGCACTTCATCAGCAACTATATAAGCAAGTGGCACAAACTAACTAGCGAGGCGGTCAGCAACAAGTGTCGCTACGTCAGCATTAATTTCCACCGCAAAACTACCGTCTCGCATTGTGGGTAGTAGTAAACGCGCTCGGTTTTTAAATTCATTATAAGCTACGGTTACCATTATATTCCGATATATTACTTAATTTTTGTCTCCCACAATCGAGTGTGGTGCGCCAACAGCACTTTCTTAATGCGCCGGTCTAGTGTATTAAGGATAATTCAACTTCAGGGGGTTGTAACACCGTGGACACTCACTCACAGATAAGGGCCGTTAATTCACCTGGCAAGCGGTTAGGGCGAACTCAACTTCGCGTGTTCTCGTGGCGGTATGGTACGCCGAGGTAAAAGCACTTTCAAATTCAGCAACAGCAAAGTCAGTAGGGCGGAAGTCCAGAGTAAGGCGAAAGATGTTATAAAGGTTATATATAGAGCTCTGAGAATTGAGCCAGCCCGTAAAAATTCTGATATATGACCTCGGGAACTCCTTTTTGTCGCCCAAATCGAGCAGAACTAGCAGATGGTCCGAGGAGAGTTCTTAAAGAACTTCCATTGCCGTTGATCTATAATATATATAGGAAGGCTATATTTTATAAATCTGTCCCATTCCGCGCTCGTCAGTATAAGATTCGTGGATTCGGTTGTTTGGATTATCAACTTGGCTCTTCCAGGAGGCATGCTTGCAGTCAAGGCTCCCAAATACAACAAATGAGGGAACCTTATAAAAAGTGCCTCAAGAATTGAGATATTAAGTGACGCCTTTCAGGGGACTTGTAAGCTGCAATTATCAACGCGATTCATCGGCTAGCTAATTAGAAGGAAAATCCAACCGCCCCATTGCTTTGCAGATATGGCATTTATATCACACTACAGTCCTGGAGATTACCTTAAAACGTTGCAGAGGTGCGTTGATAGAGCAGTTTGACTGGATGGTGTAGATCTTCGGGGGTGGCCACAATAGTTGGTCTCGTGCACTTCATCGCAATTACCACAACTGGAAGACTTGCTAGTGCTTTGTGCACTGGGCAGTCAGTTGACCCTCTCCAAATTTAACGCATTGTATGGCCGCAGAGAATAATCTTGCGCTTTATAAAAGACCTGCCAACGGTGGCACTGTGTGGCTCGCTTACTCTCTCGGAGAGCCCACGCTAACCTGAAGATAAACAACTCTGTCGATCACACCTCTATGCACTAACACCAGGTCGCTTCGTATGTTTACCATTGGCAGTGTACACCGGGTGCCTTCTTGCCATGCGGAGGGGTGAGAAGCTTTGCGTGCGTAAGCCCCCCTCGCCAGTTTGGGCGTCCGCTAAGGGCAAACTTCAAAGGCTTCTCCTCTAGTAGTTGGTAAGTAAAATGAGATAGCGCTTCATCACGCATAAGCTTTGTGATAACTTGATACTCTTCTGCTGTTGCTAAAAATATTATAATTCCTCGTCTTGTGTCCCTGGATTTTGGAATGTTGTTGGCGCCGTTGCAAACGGTACCGTAGATACCTCCACTTGTGTTTTTCGCAGAGAATTACATGTTATTTTTCGCCTGAATAGACATGCAACCGCGGGAGGTGGCTTGGAGTTGCTGGAGGTATTCGGGCGTTGAGAGGTGTTGTCCATCCCTAAGTCAAGGTTAACCTCGTGCTTTCTGGAAGGCATGACTGTGTCTTCGTTACTCTTACTAAATATAAAGTTTTTTGTGTATTACTAATATTTTACTATTTAAGGTTATTTGCAAAAATATTATTACTAAATTTCTTCACCTTTACTACTATATACGTTTTATGTATTATTAGTTGTTGTTATAATTATTGTTATATATTTTTTTATTGACATTTTTTATAAAAGTATTTTCTTCACTTTCTTAAAAAAAAATTCTTCTTTCTAAGGCTCGTTTTTTAGAGAGAAAAATAAGGATTAGCTTTATTAACTTTAATATAGAATTTTATATTGGCTCTTCACGTCGTTTAATCTCGTTTTTAATAATTCCTAACTTTAATTTCACAGCTGTAAGCTCTTTAAGCAGCTGTTCAGTAATACCTAATAAATTAGCATTTGTCCTTCGCAAGTCGGCTTCCAGAAGAGAAAAGCCCATTTTATTAATTATCAAAAGAACAAGCACAAGCAGTAAACCTAAAAAAGAAAAAAGCGACGGACGCCCATCTTAAGTAAAAGGAATAGAAAACATTTCATCAGGTATCACTCCTAACTAAGGACTCCTATAATCTCGTCTAAATTACTAACTTAGCAAGTTCGACTAAGTTTCAGTTATTTTAATAGCTGTCCCCTGCCCGTATGTAAGAGCTTTTGATTCGAGAAATATTAACTCTAGTAATCAAACGACGCCTAAGCATCGAGAATAAATTTAGATATTACAAAAAGTCAATGAAGGTTAGAGAGTTAGAGGAAAGTCGTCTAGCGAGGCAAGTCTAAGTAAGCTATTAACGGAGAGTTGAGACCGTCCCGTCACAGGAAGCTAGCTATTTCCAAAGGACTTCAGCTGGCGTTGAGTTTACTATAAAATTTAAGAGCAATCATTTCTGAACGTGAATATTAGAGCCACAAAGAACACAAAGAACTTTCCGAAGTAACGTGGAGTTTGAGGAAATATACTATTTTCTCTACCCGTCCACTTACTAGTAAAAAGTGCTTTCGAGTGTTAGCAGTTACACTAGTTAGAGTAACGAAATCTAGAGAGCCCTAGAAAAGACACCCAACAATACCTGGGATCGTAGAGGGTAACTTGACCAAGTGAAGATAACCCTACGTCCAAAAGCTAATCATCTTTGGGGCGCCCTGTTGGTCACCTTACATATTGCCAACCACAGATTTACTCAGGAAAAACACTAACTTTAGACCGCGGATGAAACGATCTTTTAGGTCACTTTACGATATAACTCTAGGGAATTAAAGCAGTCTCCACACTGCTAAAGATTTTATTCTATAATTTTTAGGCGTAAGGAAAAAGCTATAAGCCCCAGATGCACTTCGACTACGCCTACACCCAACACAGTTGCCAATAATGAACCTTTAAAGGACACAAAAATGCTTATCTCACTATATTAAACACATCGAAGTACCTAAGTTGCGTTTGAATCTTTATATGACGTTTAAAGAAACCTCGCATGGAAAACCGAGCGTTATGGCTAGTCTTATATAACGTTTTGAAGGAACAATAAGTATATTAGTACTGTTCCCTAATAGAATAATACTATGAAAAATTAGTTTTATTACCTAAAGATTTAAAAGTGCTGATAACCAGTATTAAAACTTTGAATTCAAACTTAAAGACGATTGTTTGTTCGTAACATCACCGTAGTATATCAACTTAGTATGAACGCCTCGTTCCTTTAAAGAGTTGCCCTTGATAAAAGAATAACTAGGAAATTTAATAGCTAGGTTGGGGAAATTGGCATGAGAATAGAAACTCCTAAATTTAATAATTTACAAAGCTATACGCCTTAGCATCAGATTGCAAAATATATTTCACTCCTTGCACTCGTGGACGGCTAAAAACCTGTTTAAGAGCTCGATTATTCAAACTCGATCGAGCATCAGGAGACTCCATTTATATATAAATAAATTACTGATCCTTATTATTTATAATTTTAGTTATATATACGATAGCGCATGTTTTTGTACAGTAATACTTTGTATTAATTTTATAGTATTTTATAAGCAAAACTTTATAGGTTAAAAAAGGCGCTTTATAACTATGGCATTTTTAAATGGTTTTTTTTTATAAATTTTCTTTTCCTTGAATAGCTTATTATTTTTAGATCTTCGCACTTTTACAAAACTATTTTCTGCTTTTCTATTAATCTTATAGGAATGATCACTAACCATACCCTTTTTTTTAGGAAATTTAAATTTAGTTAAAAAAACTAACTCTTCCCCGACGAACGAACAAGATAAGTCTTTAAAGAACCCTTCTTTTGAAAAGATTTTTGCAGGAAGCATTAAGTTAAAAAAACCGCATTTCTTCTCTAGCATAGCCTCTAAGGCGCCTACTGAAGAAAATATAAGGCTAGATGCTTAATTTTACCTTGGCTAATAACTGACTTATATTATTTACTATCACCAATAAGACACAACCAACGAAAACCAGTAATTCCTGATGTTATACTCCACTATAATGATGACATTGAAGTATATCTTGTTAACTATTTTGTGGTTACAAAAGTAAACTCTAAAATATGGAAGTATTATCCTTTTTTATAGATTTTTTACTATAACTTTTATTTTAAATATTGTAACTTTGAAGGCAACAAATTGTTGTTTTAACAAGCCTCTATTTGTGCAACTTTTCCTCTGTTTACGATTTCAAATGTATACCTTTAAACCAAATCGATCGTGTAGTTTCTCTCAATTTTTAAGCTTCTTGTTTTAAATTGTTATTTTAGTTATTTAAAACCCTACCTTTTACCTCGGATTCGACTAAATCTGAAGAAACTAAGTTTTTAAAATTCTCGAGTTTGGAGAGTTTTGTAAGTGAATCAGATGAAACTGTGACTTCTTTTGAAGTGGTATTAAAAAATGGTAGACAGGCTACTTCTTTCTACCACGTCGCCTACTTAATTGAAGATCTTTATAATAATAAAAGGCAAGGTGTGGCAGTACAGTGCTTCTGACTGGTTTACCTGTGAAACTTGGCTAAGCAAGCTCAGTGTTCTCCTTAAAGAGGCAGGAACGCTTCAAACCGTAAAATACATCAACATTAACTCTGTGACTGTCCTCAACCCTGTGGAAAACGAAGGTGAGGAAGAAATCTTGGCTGCCTCTTTCGTTCCTTGGGGTATCCCTTTAATTTTTTTTTTTTTTCATATACGTATTTTCACAAACACTTTTACTGCAGGTTCTTGTATTCTTTTAAAATTACGGCCACAAAGCAAAATAAGAGTGTGGCTTAGCAACAACACAGTGCACTCTTTAATTCTTAGTGCTTTTTTTTAAAAAATTATTTTTTGTATTAAAATTATAATTATACCTTTTTTATAATAATTAATTTTAAGAATCCGATAACGAACTCTTGCTTGAAAAAGTGTACGCCGTTATAGGGAATGGCCTATTAAAGCCACTTACGTCTTTTGACTCAGAGGCTAAAGATAATAACTCCGAGCATCGAGCTGCCCTTTCCTCCTCCCATAATTTCAGACAGGGGCTTAAAAAAATACATTCGTGCATGAAGTTTTCTAAAAAGAAAAGCATTCCTCCCTTACATCTGCCAGTGAAGTCGCGTCGCAAACGGGACTTTCCATTGAGTGCACTATCGAGCGACTGAGGTCCGCAACTTTCCGTGTCACGTGGTTTTCTCCCGAAGCATGGCGGCATTGGAGTTCCCTGCTGTGGTTGTTGTGCGCGTGTGCAGGCGTTTTGCTGGTGCTCTGCCTCTTGTGGCGCTACGCTGCTCAAACATTCTCTGCTAGCTTGAGTGGTGCTTGCCTCACGCTCGCTGGGTGCGCACTCTTCCAGTGGTGGATGAACTCGAGCGGTCTTTGTTGCTATGAGGGCCGCTTTGGACGTTTCTACCAGTTAGTAGCCAGCTACCTCCCATTCGGCCTAAGACGCGTTGAAGAAGAAACGGTAGTTTACTTAGTTTTTAATCTTCCTTAGCTGCATTTTATTGCTTATTTTTTCATGTTACGCCTAAAAGATGGTAAGGAGTGAAGTAGCGAAGGGTGAGGTGGTTTACAAGTTCCATTTTGAGCGACTTTTAAGAAGACAAGTTTCTGGAGGGGAATCTAATAAAGGTAGAGCCTCCAAATGGAAAGTGTTGCAGCAGGTCTTTGCCTTTCCTTTTAAAAAGGAGCAACTTTGAGTTGACTAGCACCCCAATGAAGGTCTTTGACGACACCGTTATTGAGCCGGAGGATCTGAGTTACGAGCAAAAGGAGATGGTGGCCTCGTTCGTCGATGAGGTGAACCGCTTTCATCAGGAGAATGGTCATCAAGATGAACTTCTTCCAGCGAGTTTTTTCCGCATGCGTCAGAACTCAAACAACGGAAGTCCCACTTCCAGAGCCACTTTATTGTGTCCTTCAATTAGTGCTGTGACGGCATTGCGGTTCTTAAAAGCCCGATCTTTCAACTACGCGGTAGCTCTAAATCTATATAAGGAAAACTATTCAATAAGACAAACATTAAAAAAGGTGCGCTGAATTTCCTTTAACGTTTTTAAGTATTTATTTACGAATTGTATGAAGAAAGTTAAAGTCGAAGATATATTGAAGTTTGTCCGGATGGGATGCATCCACTTTAACGGGCTTGCTAAAGACAAGACTATGTGCTTAGTTGCAGATGTTTCCCGTTTTATTCCTCGTCAAACAGACTCTACTACTATTGCTTTTTTGTTAACGTTCGCCACCGATTTGGTTTCGTATTGTTATTTATATTACTACTAATGTTATTATTATTGTTACTATAAGGTTTCCTATTGCATACCTAGTGAGAAAGTTACTGTGTTGGTTGATTGCAGTAATTTTAGTATATTTAAAAATGTAGAGTACCAGATGATCCCAGCCATAATTCCTATTGTAAATGTATTTTCGTATTATTTTTTTATATTGCATTTTGCTACTGGCTATTGCAAGGTTTGCATGCCCGAGATTCTTGCTAGAGTGTTTCTTTTAAATACGCCATACGCTATGAGGAAAGTGTGGAATTTTATTAAAGGGAGTTTGGGTCCTAAAACGGTTGAGAAAATACATTTTTTGGAAAAGGACGAATCGGATAAGATTTTCGAGTTTGTGGATAAAGGCAACCTCGGTACTTATGGATTTCCTATAGCAATTAATTTAACAATAATAACATCATATATAATAGAAAAAAAGTTTGGAGGATCTTTAGAAACCGATTTCTCAGAAGCTGCTCAGGCATCCACCCTAGATAATTTAGTTCTTGGGTCTATCGAGGCAGTTAGTTATAAAGAATTTCCCGTGCAAGAGTATCTTAGATACGTTGGTGAAAGACTTGCTCTCAAATCTAACAGTAGCAATAACAGTTTTACTAATAATCAATAATAATCAGTAAATACTAATAAAGGTTGAACTTAAGTCACTTTGAATATTTTTAAGGCTACGAGAATTTTTTACTACTTTCAAATAATGACATTTCCCTTTAATTTGCGATTGACGGTTTTTTTGTAAAAATTTAGAATAAAGAAAATGCGTTGATCACTAATAGATAGTTTGTTATAATCTTATACTAATATTGTACTTAAGAAACTATTGTGCTCACAATTGTTTTTTTTTTAATAAAAAGAATTTATTTACACGTAACCACGCCATCCCATTATTTATACTCCTATATTGTTTAGTAGTAACGGAAGATTTCTTTCAACATTTTAAATAGATTAAATTTGAAATGATAACTTTACAAAGCTTTTAATTAAAAAATAATTTTTATTATAATTAAAATTTTTAATTGCAAGTATCTACCATAGCATAACTGCTGAAATTTATTCGTTTATAATACCTTACAATAATTAGGTTAGCTATAAATAACTAAAGATATCAGTTGCAGTTTAAAAGATTTAAAATTTACTTATGATTAATAAAGTTGACAAGAAATGTACTAATGACCCTATAAAGTGTCTTATTAAAGCTCTCCGTTTCTATTGAGCACTGTTAAAAAGAGAACTAGAAACTAGTTTATGAACATGATTTAATTCTTTTAGGCCCTTCACAACCCGGGGGGGGGGGGGGGGTTAGCACGAAACCGCCCTTCAATCTTCGTAACAAGGCTCCGACCACTAGCGGCTACCGCCAAAAATTTAAGGGTAGTGATCAATTAGAGACTAAAAAAATTCCTTCTCATATTTAGAAGAGGTTTTTTTACTTTATAAAAAAAAAATAATTTAATTAAATATCCCTTAATTCTACCCTAAAAATTTCTATTTTGGTTTTTAAATGGAGCATGAACACGTCTAGATTGTTTATTGCATCCTTTATTAGACCGTAACAAAAAGTATTTTCTAAACCCTTATGGGTTTCTTTTTGATTAAAACTTGCACTGTTTAAAGTATTGTAAAACCTCTTGCTTCTAACCTTCACGGTTATATTCTTTTCAACTTGGTTAGGGAGGCAATGGAAAACGTCAGCAGAGTCGATGCTATTAATAAAAAAGGGAGAATTATCTAATAAAGTCCACAACCCCGCCCTTAACCCTATCGAGATTTCAACGTATCACGGTTAAAGAAAAGTCTCAGGCTTATCAGATATTTATCTTATTTTTTTTAATCCGAAATTCAGGAGACACTTAAGATCTTTTGGAGTAAATCCTAGTGGAATAAGAGGTATAAGTCTGGTGGGAGGCTTCTTAAACAACATATAAGATCCTCTTTGAATAAGGCCATCTCTAGTCACTAAAAAGATATCTCCGCTTATCAATAATATGTTTGAGCTTTATTTGAGGATGGAATTATTTATAAATTTTATTATATAAAATTAAATGTTAACCGCTTTATCTGTTATAGTATTTATCCTTTATGAATTTCAAAAAATCTTCTTTAAGTTTCTTTACTCCTTTTTAAAATTTTCACTTGTATCTTGCTGTAATTCTTTGTTTAAACGCCACAACTTTCTTTGCCTTAGACTTATAAGACTAATTACCTGCTTATATTAGTCCAGAAGCAGTGTGCTTTCTCACACTTAGCAATGAATTTATTTACAGAGCCACACTAAACCGTTAAAGTCTAATAGATTGAAACAAAAAACAAAGAATAGGGATTGACTTTATTTTATCATTTATTTATTAATGACAGTTCCTAGTGCTCGATCGAGTTAAAAACTTCGATTACTGGAGCTCTCAAACAGAAGTGATCGCAGACATATCACAAATAGCACCCAGTGTGTCATTATTTTTTTATATTAACAAAAATATAAAAACTAGCGCTTAAGCTCGTCACATGGACGGCGATAACGTGCCCCGTCTCATGACTCGTAAACAACTTCGCTCACCAGCAGGGGATTAGTGTGTCTGGTGAACCTGTCGTAGGACCACGACATGGCGTTGGAAGAGATTGTTTAAAGGATCCAGATGAAGGCCCCAGTGAAGAGCACCATTTCTCCCAAGACGCGGCACCTTGGTCAAAACACGAAGCAATTTTTTTCTTCGCACTTGGAGTGCCGACATTATCACATGGAGCCGTAGGTCCGAGCAGCAGAGGGTATGCCATTATTGGCTGGATGTAAGACAAATGCAATTGCCCTTTGTTTCGCAGAAAAGCTTACTCTTGCCGCAAAGTAAAGGGTAAAGCCCTTGGTTACTGCCTTATCCTTAGCCACACATCATAGTTCACGTAAAACAGCCAGGAAATTTTGTTGTCGATGATGATTCCCAAGTATTTCGCTTGGGAACAACGCGGAATCTTCACACCATCAAAGGTAAAGGGCACAAACAAGAGACGCGTTTTACTCAAATTAATTTAGCTTTGCTCTTCATCGCGTTTATATAAACTTTCCAGTTACGGCACCAGACAGCAAGGGTGGCAAGATAATGCTATAGGCTTGCATAGCAAGGCCGGAGACTTCAAAGATGAGAAAACGGCCGTTTCATCGGCGTGGAGGTCGATTCGTGCGTGTGGATTGGACGGCCTGACCATGTTGCTCAATTAATTGCAAATAAAAAAGGCGAGAGAGGTAGGGTCCCTGCTGTCAGAAATCGCAGCGATGACTGTGTATCTCCCACTCGCACGCTGAAGACGCGACCATATAGATATGACTTCAGCACGTTGTAAAGGCCATGATGGACGGGTAACGAGCGCAGTTGGTGCAGCAGACCTTCATGCCAAATTTATCAAATGTTTTTTCAACGTCGAGGGAGACGGCGCCCGTTGCCTTTTTAAAGTTGAAAGCGCGAGTGATAATACAGTTAATCGGAAGAGCTGCTGGGACGTTGAGTGCCTTTGCCGAAAATTAAACTGAAACTCCGGCAAGGCTTTTCAATGCCAACGAACTTCTTTAAGACGCGCAGTAAGACGGTCTAACCCACTTTTACGACCTCTTTCAAGAGGCTGTTGGGTCCTTATTTGCTAGTGACTTTTTCCATTTAAGTGTCTGGCAGCATCAGAAAAGTCGGCACCAGAGGTACAGATAATTCCTCCCTATTAATGGCAGTTTCTTAGGCATCTTACTAATGATGCCAGCGGGGTCAGAAGCTTTCATTTGGATAGCGCTTCGACAATCGCTTGAACCTTGCGAGCAGAAACTAGCTTAAGTGGTTTGTAGACATCGGAAAGGGGGTAAACTCAGCTGAGAAAGCGCATTATTGGCAGTTAAGTGAGCAGCTGGCGAATTTTGGGAAGCAAAGAGATTAGCGAAAAGCGAAGCTTTGTCTCCATCACTCTCGGTCATCATATTTCCTTCACTAAGGGGCGAAAGTAGTACAAGCCCCCGATTTTAAATCCATTTATCAAATTTCCAAAAGGAGCACCTAATTCTGGCATATGGTGAAGGTTGGCCCCCTTTTATTATTAAAATGGTCATTAACTTCTTTCTTATGCACCAGTGCAGTCGATTAAGCGCAAGTTTGTCTTCGGCGCTCTGCAACATGGCCACTCGGATAAGACGTCGAAGTCAAGAGGAAAGTCTCTTTAGATCGTCAGGCGGCCGTGGCAATAGTGAGAGTCATGAACAATGCTGTTTCGAAAAGGGCAACAGCATCATCCGGCAGGGCGGGGTGGATGGTATTGGCGGACGTGGCGGCAGCGTGGTTCCTAATCCATTGGCATATTTGCCCCAGTCCGTAAAAATATGGGTAATGGTCTTTGGTGCGTTCTCCTCCCATAAATCGTGAATAACTAGGGGTGTGGGTCGGAGAAACGTGGAGCGCTTCAATTGCCGTAGAGAGATGTTATATCTCTAAGTATGGCAATATCCAGTACGATCATTGTGTCTGTGCCGCCAAGTGTGTTGCTTGCTGAAGCCCTAGCACGCACAGCCCGTGCTCATTAACATTGGCCTCAGGGTTGTGGCCATTAGAGTTATCGGCTCGGCTGTTCCATAAAAGGTGCTTGCAATTAAGATCTCCGCACAAAACAGCAGAAGAGGCCCGCACAAGAATGGCGTCCAAATCGGAGGGGGAAGTAGCTTCCAAGGGGATTTGTAGAGAGTAATTACAGACACGGACCCCTGGTCGGCCATACATAGGGGACTTCCCACTGCCTTGACACTTTGTGGAGCTGACATAGGTACCACACTCCGTTTCACCAAGACAGTCACACCCCCGCCGCAGCCACCAATTCTGCCTTGGCGATAAGTAACAAAGTTACAAAAATTTATTACGACATTAGGAAGAAGGTGCGTCTCGTGGATGGCGAACTCATTAAATACTTTCTCGTGGTAACAGCTCCTGAAGCTCGTGCTTCTTACTCTGAACACCATTAGCATTTCAGAATAGGAGTCGAATGTGGCGGCGCGTCATTGGCTTAGATACCATTGCAACATATTACAGTCCTTTCACAGATTCTATGCTGGATAAATTCGTCGTTAAAATTTCTAAATTCCGCAGTATTATTGGCAGCGACTGTTCAGCTTTCGCAGCAGAAGGGCGGCCAAGGGCTTTAGAACCTAACGGGGCATTGTCAAAACTTGATGAGGTTTTGTATTCGAACAAGAAGCGTAAGAGACACCCAGGGAAACAGTATTGTTTGTAGTTGGTGCCGACGAAGTAAACTTTGCTGAGGGTTGGCTTTCTTACGCGAATAATATTTGCAGCTTTGATAATTTAGCGGTATGTGCCTCGTGATTCGGTACACTCTGCGGCTAAATGACCCTCCCCGCATTTAACGCATTGAGGTGCCGCAGAGCAAAAGTTTGCAAGATGACCAAAGGTTTGGCAGCAATGGCAGCGCGACTGCTTTTTCGAAGTTCTATTTTGTTCTGAAGATGGGAACTAGTCTTCACCTCTAAAAGTTTTTTTTGCACCGTTCTTAGTATATGCGCCAGTACTAGTGGTAATGGACACTTCTTCCACTCGCCATTGACAGTGTTCGTGTACATCCGTGCCACTGGAGGAGTGTGATGCCTT